AAAAAATAGAATATCTATGTAAAAGAGAAAGAAAATTACAATATATTTATACATTTACATTGTTTTTTATTCATGCAATGTATAAATTATATTAATGTCCGCACAGGCGTGCGGGCCGTCCACCTAGTTAATCATAAACCATTACAACATGTTTTTGTAGACACGTGTCATCACTAGAACCATTCTTAAAATCTTTTGAAAAATTAGTTGATTCATATAATTATATATTATATTTTTTATTAAACTAAGTATCAACTTAATTATTAGTATACAAAAGAATATTTATTCTTTCCTTAAATAAAAGATATGTAATACCTAATATGATTAACATATATATGACAATTAATTATTATGAATAATACTTATTCAGTAACAATTTTGGTATTCTTTCTCTTATTTTTTGTTTAATTTTATATTATTAAAAATAATTAAACAATCACATTAAGCATATAATAAAAAATTAGATTTTTATTATATGTTATATTTAGAATATTCTGGAATTATTACAAATTACTAAAAAAGGTAACAGTTCTTCATTGAAATTTTTTGATCTTAACTTTTGTTTTGTTCAAGCAAGATACAAATTATTATAAACCGTATGAATATGAAGTCTCATAATAAATATTCAAATTATATATATATATATATATATCAAAAAATATATATTAATATCATTTAAATTAATTTATATACTATATAAAATATATAAATATGTTAATTTCAAAATTTTCAGTGAAAATTTATGGAGATCTTAATATTTTAATTTTGAAATTCGTATTGGAACAATCTCACATTAATTGTTTTTTATTTATTCAAATTTCTGTTAGAAAAATATACAAATGTTAATAAAATTATATGAGTTGGAAGTTTCAATAATTAATATAAATTTAATTATACTATATATATATATATGTCAATATCAATAACATTTAATTATATATCATATAAAGTAAATAAAATGGTTGTTTTGATTCATTTACCAAAAACAAGATTGTAAATTAACAAAATGTATTAGTTTTTATTTATGTTTTTACTCTAATGTATATACTTTTATGTATACAAATTAATTTTTAAATAGTTAGTTTCTAATATGTTATTTGATCGTGACAATCCGAGAACTACACTTCTTCAAATCGAAGTGATTTTTAATGTTATAAGCACTATATATATTTATATATTATTTCATTCAAATTAAATAATTTAGTCTTCATATTTATTCCTAAAATTGTTTTAATGAAATATCATGACAAAATTCCAATCACCTTTTTTGAGTTTGTTCGAAGAATGAGAGATTTGATCATTCATCTAATATTTGTTTCTCTATAATACACAATCTAGCTATTATAATTTATCCAAACAAGCTTATTATGATCTTAGTACTTTGGAACTTGGTTATAATCCGTACCAACCCGAATTCCGAACTAGGTCCGAAGATATCTGAAATTAGTATAATATGTTAATGTTTTTTATATGTCAAGGTAATTTAGATATTTTATTGTATTCTAAAGATTTTTGTATTTTTTTATTTTTTATTTTGAATATCTTTTAGTTAGTTTAGATGGTTTAACTAATTTTAAATTAGATTTACGAATAATTTAAATATTTTTAGTTTTTGTCAATTTTGAGGTTTCAAAAAATATATTATGGGACGATGTCAGATTTTGGTTACAATTTGATCCAAACCGAATCCGGAAAGAATCAAACTGAGTCCAATAATTAATAAAACCCGAATGGCCAAAGGTTTGAAAATCCAAATCAATCGAACCGAAACCGACGGACCCCTAAATACCCAGACATATGATATATTTAAGAGAACAACATTTGTGTTCGTCATTTTACAATCAATGAGGATTATAATGTTACAAAATGTTAAAACTGAACAAATATTTATATAAAAAATTCATTCCATGCATGCGCGCGGGTATCATCTAATTTGTTAGTAATAATGAAAAAGAATAGAAAGACTTATTTAGTGACAAAGACATGGAGAGTGATTACTTTGAATGCAATCTTAAATTACTAAAAGGGTGCATATCGACACATACATATATATGAGAGTATTTTAATGGATTACTTCGAATTTGATTTGTAGAATTTCAACTTGAGGTTGTATGTTTCAAGACTCCATCACGATAAAACTTTGAGTTCAGGCTAAATGAAAGTGAAGGACATTCAAAATTTAGGATGGATAGTGAGAATAGTTTTTATGTACCTCGATTTAGGGTCTTTGATTCACTTAAAATCCGGTTTGGTTCATTAACTGTAATGTGATTTTAGTTCAGTTTTGGTTCAAGATCCTTTCATAAATTACTTTTTGGTTTGGGTTCTGTAGGTTTTTCGAGCATCTCCAATCCCACTCCATAATTTACTACAAAATGGAATGAGAAATTGAGAGATGAAGAAACAAAAATCCAATTGCTCTTCTACTTGCTGAATCATTCTCTATTGAACTTTCTATGGTATTTGAGATTTTGTTTCGCTCGTTTGTTGATGATCTTGGTTTATCTGGACTGCTCTTGACCAAAACTTTTAGTGAGCTTCTTGTCACAGATTGATTCTTCTCGGAATCTGAACGTGTGGTCTTTGTTACTTTCTATCTCGTCTATAGCTAAGTCAGCCTCTTAACCGAACTGATCACGTTTGGAATGAGAGGGCTTTAGAGAAGTATTGGTCTTATTAAGTTGGTGAATGATTTACAAATGAAGGTATCATTTTCTCCCGTGAAGTAACTTCAACTTGAAGTAGTTTCATGCTTTTTGCACCATTTCAAAACATTCTAAATCTTATATATTTTACATAATTCTTAAAAGATGAGAGACTTTGAGATATTTGTATTTTTTTGTACCTTAAAACTCGACTATGTATATTGTCCCTTTTCTCTCCCAATCCTATTAGGGTTTCCTTGTGAACAGCTCTCTCGCCCACCGACGAGAACACTCCTCTTTCTCCCTCCTCTTTCTTTCTTCCATGGCTTTGCTGGTTCCTTGTCCCTTTGCGCCGTTGCTCCTTCCTCCGCCGCTCGTGCTTCTCCTAGATCTATCAGTCGAGTGCTCTCCTCACGTCCTCTCCAATCTTCCCCACACCCGACCTGTCTCTGTTCCTGTCTCGCTTCTTCGACTCTGCAGTGACCATACTGTCCTTCCATTTAGTAACTCTATCAGTTTCGGTGGTGTTTGCTCTTGTGGTTCTCTGTGACTCCTTTACTGCAGTATGCGGTCTCAATTCTGAGTTTTATCTGGCTCGTCCTAACTCTGTAAGGTTTGGTTTTGGCCTCTTAATCTACTGGCCTCAAGTTGCTCAGATCTGTGTTTATACAGTGGTATTTGATATAAAAAGTGATATGGTTTCTGGTTGGAATTGTGAATCTGTGTCTTGTGCATTTTCTTCTGTCTCTTGGTTGCTCATTGTCTCAAGTTTCATAGTTTACTTGTCAAGATGTTTGGAGAATAGTCAAAGTCTCATTGAGAATTAAGTCATAGCCTTGTTTGGTTTGGGATCTCATTTCTCTGTTTTCAGGCTCTTCAGTTGCAATTATATTGCCTTGGCTCATTCCTTCACTGCAGTATGCAGGGTTTCATATATTTGTGTGGTCTCACAAAGATTTGGTTGTTCATTGTCCCGGTATCATGACCTCACTGTTTTGGTTGTAGAGTGTCTAGCCCTTTTGGGAATTTGTAAGCTGGTTTACAAGTCAGATTGCCATAAACTCAGTTGTCTCTTTTCAGAGAGTTGGTCTTTTGATGTTCATTGGATTTATTGGTTATTCGATCCCTTATCTTATCTTTTGAGGATTTACATTGTGTTGTGTTTTCCTATGTTTGTAATATGGCAAATTATGCCTTTCTACTTTGTACTTCCTCCTCTCATGGAGGTTAAGACTTTAAGTTAATGGAATGATTGTTTGATAAAAAAAACATAAGTCTTAAAAGAAAATACTAAATTATGTGGGTTTAAATATTTTTTGTCCCGACCCAAAAATTGGATGGTTTTCATATACGGTTTTGGACTGTGAATAGGCATAATAGCATTCTGCTTTAGATATACAAGCATGTTAATAACATAATTACCATATTTGGTTAAATATTAAGCTCATTGAAATGCATGGTTATGTTTTCTTGGTTCACATTTTGTTTTTGGGGTAAACTCTTCATTTAGAACCCATATTTTGTTTCCATGTTGTTTGTACCAGCTGGTTGCTATAAAATTTTCCATGTCAAGCACAATGCATTCCTCAATTCGATAGCCTTTGATTTAATGATCATTGGACGGACTTTCTCTTGTAAAGGCACACGACATGTTCCCCCATGTTTTTTTCATGGTGCAAGATTAGCTGAAGAGTTGTTAACGTACTTCTTCTTCTCCAAAATCACACAACAAACTCAATCCTACAATGCAACATTTCCTTTGATTGATTACACAGACGAATTAGTATCAAACACAATAACATTCCTAATCCATTTGAAAGACTCAGTCCAAAAATACAAATCTAACTAAAACTGACTCTAACGCCTTTTTTTTGAATAAATGTAAAATCGAACGACTTTTTTTTAAAGTCAACTCAAGAGCTAACTAACTTTATAACCAATGATCAAGCTCCATTTTTTCCAGCTCAGCATTCCCGTTCACTTAGCTTTTCTCCTCTATTTCTTCTGTGTAACACTGATGAGGCTTATCATTCTTCCAAATTTCCAATACTAATCGGTTTTCTTCTCTTTCTACTTGGTGAACTGTCACATATCAGTTAGTCCCACCTAGTATTTGTTGCCATCCTCTTTTTGTCCCTTGGAAGTTTGTTCTACCGTAAATTCGTAATCATGTCCGAGTCTTAAACACATATACTATACATGTACAATTTACAAGCCCGTGAATACCAATATTAATTGAATTACTATAGTTGTAGTATACCACCCAGCTTATCGTTTGTGGGATCAACTATCTGGATATTTATTATTCAGATAAAACATGATTATATGTATTAGGCGAACAAAAATATAAGACATTTATCAAAGAAACTTTTTATTATATATAATCAGAGATGTGTCTTGACACTTTCTTATTTTTTACAAAGCATTAAAATTATAAAACTCCCACCACAAAATAAAATTACAATCAGCTTCCTCAGAACCAAACTTTCATTTTTACTTAGTTTACTTAAGCTGTGTAGAGCTTAGGATCAGACAACCTCGGAACTGGAATAGCCACAAGTGGACTCTTCAACTTAAGAACAAGCCCAAACTTCTCCTCAACCTCAAACTTCTGCCCTTTTGGAGCCACCCAATCAAAAGAGTGAAGCAGCGACGCAATGTTGAACAGAACAAGCCTCTCAGCCATGTTAATCGCCGCGCAAATCCTCCTCCCTGATCCAAATGGCAAGTACTTGAAGTCACCACCATTGAAGTCAAGAGAGTTCTCCAAGAACCTCTCCGGTATAAACTCATTTGGCTCATCCCAATGCTTAGGGTCTCTATGAATGGCCCACACGTTGATGAAGATCTTTGAGTCTTTAGGCACAGTGTACCCCGCAACCACTGAGGTTTCACTGTTGCGATGAGGGACAAGAAGAGGAAGCGTAGGATGTAGCCTAAGAGTCTCTTTCATAACAGCTTGTAAGTAAGGGAGTTTAGGCAAGTGTGACTCTTCAACTATACTGTCTTTGCCGACAACTTCGTCCAGTTCTTGTCGGATCTTTTTGAAAACTTCTGGTCTACTCACGATCTCAGCCATAGCGAACTCGGATGCGTTGACTGACGTGTCAACACCACCAAGAACCATGTCCATAAGCAAAGACTTGACATGAGTCAACGAGAGAGGAGCTTTCTCGTCCTCATCTTTAACCCTAATCAAGTATTGTAAGAAATCTTCTTCTTCTTCAGTTTTTTTCCCGACCATCTTAACATGGCTCTCCATAACACGGTCGAAGAGAATGTCTAGCTTCTTGACATGGACCTTCATCTGCTTAACAAGTCCCTGGAAATCGAATCTTGCGAACCAAGGAAAGAAGTCTGAGTAGTTTTGAATCCCTTCTATGTCGGAGATGTCAGAGATTAGGGTTTTGAGTTCGTTTCCTAAGCTTGTTCTCTCTTCTCCTTCAACAGTTGCTCCCCACATCATTCTCGTCACGACGTTGAAGATAGAAAGAAAGATCTGCTCTCCAAGATTGACGGGAGATCCATCACGAGCCATCTCCGACATGTAGACAACGGTTTGTCGTGTTTCTTCTCTACGAGTGGAGTAAGAGGCTTCAAGAGTCGGTGTGGTGAACATCTTCATGACGCAAAGCTTACGAAGTCTCCTCCAGTGAGTGCCGTAAGGAGACCAGAGTATGTCTTCACCACCGTACGTGTTGATCTTTCCCACTTCAGGGAGGTCATGGTTTGCAAAAGTGATGTCGTGAGTCTTGAGAACCTCACGAGCCATGTCTGGTGAAGAGATGACGATAGCTAGTTTGGAACCGAGGTGGATCTTCATGAGAGGGCCATGTTTTTGAGTTAGGGCTTGGAACTGCGTGTGGAGGATGTCGGAGTTTAGGAACGGGAGGTTTCCAACTATAGGAAGTGGCCAAGGTCCCGGTGGCAACGGTGGACCGTTTCTTGATTTGGATTTTCCTTGAATCCAGAAGTAGCAGATGACGGCGAGGAGGGCAGCCACGGCTAGCATGATGGAGCTGTATGGATCCTCTTTGTTGAGGATGGTAGAGAGAGTGAAGTTAGAAAACGTAGCAGCTTCCATTTTTGTTCAAGTTCTGTTAAGAAAGAGAGATATTTTGTGTTGTGTGGTGGTGAAGATTGATGAAGGGAGTGTGGAGATTTATACTGTAGGCTTAAGGAGAATGATTGCATTATTTTGATTTTATTATATTATATTATTATATTAGAAAATCAACTTGTCTGAAATTTCTTAGGTTCCTTCATATTCAAAACTCATTAAGCGAAAGATTTGAGACGGCGTTGAAATTGGTTAGGTACGAATTTACAAGTATATTTACTTGAAATATGTAGAAGAGTAATACTAGACAACTCTATCTTATAATATAACTAAATTCAAACGTAGGAAACAAATCCAAAAAAGTAGACAAAAACAAAATATTGCATCCTGAGAAAGGAGGGAGATTCTGAAAATTAATAATGGTGGCGCTAAAAAAATATGAATATATCTTATATTTAAGTTCTTATTGATATTTTGTTATCGCTTAATCTATACTATATAAAAGTTGAGGCTATAAGCCATTGAGAGCGTCCACGTAGGATTTAAGTCATCCAATCGTAAAATGACACATCATTATTTTAGTTTATTATTTTTAGAAAATGTCATTGTTTCCAAATTATATTAAAAACGAAATTAATATTCCATATATAATTTAACTAACAAAATAAATATTAACATTTTACAAATTACATAAAAATGTTAACTTTTATTAAAAAAATGGAAAATCTATACTATATAAAAGTTGAGGC